TTCAAGTCACTTTTACTCATATCAGTATGCAAATATTTTCAACAGTCAGAGTGCACCTTGCAAAAATATTCTTTAACATGCTGCAAAATACAAGATATACATAAGATACATATCATATAAGATCCATTACCTGGAACTTAACATTTTATTGTGTTTAAATTACTATAACTCAATTTTAATAAATAAGCATATGGTTATAAATCTATATAATAACTATTATCTTTTTTTAGTTATTGTTATTCATGTTAAAGTTATTGTTACTTATGTTAAAGTTATTGTTACTTATGTTAAAGTTATTGTTACTTATGTTAAAGTTATTGTTATTCATGTTAAAGTTATTATTATTCATGTTAAAGTTATTGTTACTTATGTTAAAGTTATTGTTATTCATGTTAAAGTTATTGTTACTTATGTTAAAGTTATTGTTACTTATGTTAAAGTTATTGTTACTTATGTTAAAGTTATTGTTATTCATGTTAAAGTTATTGTTATTCATGTTAAAGTTATTGTTACTTATGTTAAAGTTATTGTTATTCATGTTAAAGTTATTGTTACATAGTGTTAAAGTTATTGTTAATCATGTTAAAGTTATTGTTATTTATGTTAAAGTTATTGTTATTTATGTTAAAGTTATTGTTATTCATGTTAAAGTTATTGTTACTTATGTTAAAGTTATTGTTATTCATGTTAAAGTTATAAAGTTAAATTAAAGCTTTATAAGTAAAGTTTGAATGTAAAAGTTCATATATATAAAATTTTTTATCAGTATTAGAAATATAATTATTATATTACAAGTATTTACAAGCATAGGTATTGCAAGTATAAATTATTATTATGTTAAAGTTATTGTTATTCATGTTAAAGTTATTGTTATTCATTCATGTTAAAGTTATTGTCATTCATTCAAAACTCATTGACCTTTAAGCATTTATATAACCTCAAAGTAAATGACGCTGATTGCGAGTCATTTACTATTGAAACAATTAATAAAACAAATAAAAATACATTTATAACAGCATTATATAGACCGCCTTATGGTAATTACATTCAGTTTGAAAACCACATAAATCATTTGCTAGCAAAGCTTATAAAAAAACACGTGTATATACTAGGTGATTTTAATTTGAATTTTCTAAATAATAAAACAGATAACCATGTTGCGCGTTTTATAAATACACTTTTGCAATACAGCGTTTTTCCCATAATTAACGAGCCAACACGCGTGACTAAAACAACTGCATCCATTATCGATAATATTATTACAAATAATTACACAAGGGCTAAAATGCAAAGTGTTATTATTAAAACAGATATCACTGATCATTTTCTAGTTTTTCTGATCATAATTTTGGCAACCCCTAAAAAAAAAAAAAAAAACTATTTATATAAGAAACATAAATAATGAATCAATCGTCACTTTTCGCGACCTTCTTCAAAAAAAAATATACTGGGAACTATTGACTGATTGCAATGATGTAAATAATGGCTATGATTTTTTTATTCACGTGTTTACTAAGCAATACGAAAAAGCCTTTCCAAAAGTTAAAAAAATAAATAATTTTAAAAATTTGCTTAGTCCGTGAATGACGAAGGACTCAATTAATCTTCAAAAAAGAAACAAAAACTTTACCAAAAGTTTAAAAAAAAAAAGAACTACAAAAATAAAATAAAACACAAAAAATTTCTTTCGAAAAGTTAAAAAAGCAATCAAAAAAAATTACTAATTCTTATTGCTTAATAAAACATTTGGAAATGCAAGTAAAACATGGAATGTAATTAAAGAAATAACAGGCGTAGGAAATGTAAAAATTGATAATTTCCCAAAAAAATTGCAAAGAGATAGTAATATAGGAGATGCTTTTGTAAATAAAGAAATTGCAGAAACATTTAATGACTTTTTTATAAATATAGGGAAAAAACAAGCCAGTGCAATTCCTGAGGTGAGTAAGTCGTTTGAATCCTTTTTGAAAAAGTCAGATTCCATAACGGGTGAGTCGGAGCTTCTGGTTGATGAACTTGGGCTAGCAATTAGTATGTTGAAAACAAATAAGAGTGCGGGTCTAGATGAAAATAACCCCGATGTTTTAAAAGCGGTCTCTGATATTATTCAGAAACCTTTTTTTATAATTTTTAATCTTTCCCTAAGAAACGGCATTTTTCCTGACCAACTAAAACTAGCAAAAATAATTCCTATACACAAAAGCGGCGATGATTCGATAAAATCAAACTAAAGACCAATTTACATACTTTAGTGTTTTTCTAAAATACTAGGGCTTATTATGCACAACAGGCTGTAAAATTATCTTGAAGCTAATAACTTTCTTTATCATAAACAGTTTGGTTTTTGCAAAAACCATTCCACGGAGATTGCAGTAATTGACGTTGCAAACCAAGTTCTAAATGGTGTTGAAAACAAAAGTTACACACTCGGAATATTTCTAAATCTATCCAAAGGCTTTGATACTGTCAACCACAAGATTCTTATCAACAAACTATGTAATTACGGAGTAGCTCACTCTAACTTAAAGTGGCTGCAATGTTATTTAGAAAATCGTAAACAAGTAGTACCATTTTATTTAACATGCTCCCCATTTGAGTCAAAAAGTTGTGGAGTTCCACAGTGATCAATACCTGGACCTTTATTGTTTTTAATTTATATTAATGATATTTATTTGTCATCAAAAATACTAAATTATATTATTTTTGCTGACGGCACTAATATTTTCTATTCTGTATTCTATTACTAAAAAAATATTTTTTGTAATGTAAAAACTAAACTTATATATCTCAATGAGTGGTTTATAGCAAATAAACTTTCATTGAATATTGAAAAAACAAAATATATTTTGTTCGCTAAACCATCTAAATCCGAGAATCTTACACTCTCAGAACTAACTATTAACAATATTAAAATAAAAAGAGTGATTTCGATGAAAATACTTGGAATAATTTTTGACAAACATTTAAATTTGAAAAGCCAAATAAAGCTAGTCAATAAAACAGTCTCAAAGACTAGGAATAATGTGTAAGACTAAACCTCTTTTGAACAAAATATGTTTAAAAAGTTTATATTTTTCGTTTATACATAGTCATATTTACTATTTTTATATTGGCTGGGCAAATAATCACTCATCTTTCCTCAAAAATATTTACACAAAACAAAAGCAAGCAAGTCGATTAGTTTCGGGCATGAATAGATACGAAAGTGCCGAGCCGTTACTCAAAGAAATATGTATGTATATGTATATACATAAATGTATGTATGTATATTAGGGTAGAATGTAAAAACCTTTTTTAGGAATGTCATTTGAGCTGGGTATGGAAAAGTTGCCTTTGGGTACAAAATGAGCTGTGGTAAAAGCATTTTGCTCTAGATTAATATTTAGGTCTGCCCCAAAGCACTTGAAAATTTGAACATTTCGTTAATTTCGGCATTTTTGGCTTAGAAAATAATAACTTCCTATCATTGCAAATTCAAGTTGGCTGGGTATGCAAAGGTTGTCATTTAGTACAAGGTAAATTGTGGTAAAAGCATTTTGCCCTAGGTTAATTCTTAGGTCTGCCCCAAAGCACTCGAAAATTGGCGTTTTTCGTGCATTTTGTGGTTTTCGGAGAAATAGTTAATAATTTCCTATAATTACAAATTTCAGTATTTACATTATTTTGTTTGAATTATTATGTTAGAAATTAATTATTTTATTTTTGTATTATTATTTTAGATTAGAAAATTAATTTAGATTAGAAAATTATTTTAGAAAATTATTTTAGAAAATTCAAACAACCTCGCATCTGTGAGTGACGTCTGAACAAAAATAACAAGAATGGCTGGTGTTAGTGGGTGTAAAAAGCACAAGACACGGCTGCGTACCAATTGCCCAATTTTTGGAAATCCTTCATATTTACCAGAGACCGTTCTTCCCACAAATGCTAATGTGATGAAATATTACTTGTTCCTTAAAGACGAAATGACATATAGATCTGCAGAGATCCCTTCAGTTGCTGAAGTTTCAAGTTGTGTTTCATCGAAAGTCGAAGCATTGTGGCACAAAGCATCAATTCCAATTATAACACACAAGCGGATTGTAGCGAAGATAAAAGAACTTCATGACAAACATCGAAATATGCTCAAGCCCTTAAAGAGGCCACAGAATGATCCTAACTATCAAGCAAAGATACAAAAGTTTTGTACAGAAGCTAATTCCCAGTTGTTTGACATCGCAGTCTGCAAATGCTTGGACATAAATCACTGCAATTGTGAGAAAAGTTTTAAGGTACCAGTTGCAGAAAGACCATTTTTGGAAGATCAAAGAAGTACAAGAAATATGATGATTGGAAGTATAGATAAAGTTGTTACAAATCGATTGAAAGAACGTGATAATCGCAAAATAAAACTTTCCAATATTTACAAAAATCCAACAACAGCCACTACACTGTAAAAAATGTCACGCCAAATTGTCTAATAAAATTGGCGACATTAAGAGTTTAAATTGTCACGCGACTTTTAGATATTAAGTTTGGCGTGACATTTATAATTAAAGTATTCACGCGACTTTTAGCAATTATGTATGGCGTGACATTTATTATTAAATTTGTCACGCGACTTATTAAAAATAAGTATGGCGTGACATTTTAATTTTTTATTTGTCACGGGACATCTAAAACATTATCGTCTCGCATGTCGCCAAGCCCGATTTTTCACGCCACATTTAGAAAATTAAAATGTGGCGCGTTAAATCGGGCTTGGTGACATGCGACACAATAGTGTTTTAGATGTGCGGTGACAAATAAAAAATTAAAATGTCACGCCATACTTATTTTTACAAAGCCGCGTGACTAATATAATTATAAATGTCACACCTTAATGAATCAAATGAGAATCATATAAAAAGACCAAAGAAATAATAAAAATCAGATTTTTTTTTAAAAAAAAGAAACCATCAAATATAAATATTTAGTTTTAAATTGTCTATATGTTTATAGCGAAGAGCTGAACAGTCTCAAAATACAAAGATCCATAAAAACTTTTACAAAAATTTGCATTTTTTTAGCCAAAGCTTATTAGTAGAAGCAAATGGTATTTGCAATACATAATGCTGCAACAGCCCTAAAACTCCCCCAAACGATCTTGGGTACGACAGGTCCATAATACAGTAATAGGCGATAAGTTGAAGCACATGTAGGGAATCATTATGCCGATGACCCATCGCAATTACTTTCCCTTTGTCAACAAATGTTATGTTTTCTCCTAAAATAAGTTGCGGCCGAGGAGAAGAAATATTATCTTCAGACTAAAAATTTGTTAAAAAGTGAAATTAAGTTAATCTGTCTTAATAACATAACATTACAAAAATAAATATTAAATTATAAAATAAAAAAAGAAACAACGATACGTTAAACTTACACTAGCAATAACAATTGGACACAACACTCCTTTTCTGGTAGTGTGTTTATGAAATTGTATTAGGGCAGGTGCAATATCTAAACCGGGATACAACTTTTGAACAACTTGCAATAGCCTATCTAATGCTACTTCTTTAGTAACTATGCTCATTCTTTCAAATTCGTCCATGATCTAAAATTTTAACCCATATATAACCCACTTTTTGTTAAAAATGCGCAAAATACAAATATATTAAATAACAAAAAACTTCATACTCATAAAAGTTTAATGTGGTCCCTCCCCTCTGAAGGACCACACACACACACACACACACACACACACACACACACACACACACACACACACACACACACACACACACACACACACCCTTTTACCTAGAACTGATTCATATACCCATATTATAGTCAATGTGTCAATATTATAAGTATTATTTGCTTACAATTTCTGGATGGAATAGGTGCTCTTTTTGTTCTGAATATGACAGAGAACACTCCATATTCCTAACCAAACAACGAATATGATGAATATCAGGAACTCTTAGTACCAAAGCAAACTAACATATAAAGAAATAGCATTAACTCTAAAGTAAACTTTATTAAATTCTTACTGTACAAAATAGGTAATAATAATTTTTATTTAAAATATACTGGTTAAACACATTTCTTATAAAAAAAGGTTTCATGGGTATCACCTGTATATCTTCATCAAATGAGCTATCGTTTATTCCAGAGATGTTTAGCGTTCTGTTAGCATTTTTTACCTCAATCAAACTTTTTAAACGACGCTCGTGCCGCTTCTGAATTACATTCGAAACACTTTTTCCAAATCCACCCTAAAAAACAAAATTTATTATTTAAACAATATCTAGTGTTGTGAAACACATAGATGTGTTACACAAAACATGCAAAAAAACATGAATATTTAAAAAAACTAAATCTATATCTATTTGAACTTAATTTTACCCTTATTTAGAATAAATATCCATAACTTATGTTCTGCTTAATTAAACATCTTATAAAATTAATGTTGTGAACTATTTATTGGTTTTTATAATTTATTTTTCGGTATATAATTTATTTTTGGGTTTTTCACTAATGTTTACTGAAAATTTAAAAACATTAAAGTTTAAACTTACTGCACCCCCTTCTCCAAAACTACAGTTTGGATATGACTGTTTTAAAAGGACAGTTACACAATGATAGAACTTTTTTTTTATTGAAGGGTTTCCCTCAGGAAGACACCCTTCGAGGTGATGTGCCTATTCACTACAAATATCTTTTAAAGTTTGTAAAGATAGGTAACTAGTATTAAATTATATATTATAACATACATACATATATATATATATATATATATATATATATATATATATATATATATATATATATATATATATATATATATATATATATATATATATATATATATATATATATATATATATATATATATATATATATATATATATATATTAGACAACACTTTAGCAAGTATATATTCTATATGCATTTATACGCTTATATATAAATGAACGAAATAACAACAATTTTTTTGTGTAAAAATAGCAACAAATATACAAAATATATTCATATTCAAAATAATTATTTTAATTAAGAAACTATGAGACAATGCTTTGATCTAGGCACAACTAATATTGTGCCATCTACAATAAACTTTGTCAATTGCCACGGAATTTGGAGATTTTCTAAAATAATTGATTTAAACGTATTAGTACTTTTAACATGAAAAGCCAGTTTATGAGGTATGTAACTGTTAATTGATCATGATACAAAATTTTACGTTAGGTTGAAGGTCAGTGATCTTATAAAGTTGAAAAGAATCATTAATTGTCAAAATAATATCACCAACTTGGTATACAATTGAACCAATTACAATTTTTTTTTTTTAATGTTGAGCCTTTGCAGTAAAAAGATAAGGTATCAGTTGGCCATTATCATCAAGGAAGTTTGAAATTGTGTTCCATCGAAGATATTGACAAACTGATTTGGCAATGTTTTTAAAGTTATGCCAACGTAAACTTTTTATTTTATTATGCTTTGCTTCAAAAGTCATACAGAATTGATTTTTTAGTGGACCAAATCGATGCAATTGTCCAACAAAATGAAGTAAAAAATGATGTTTTGGTATCAGATTATTTGGCCACAATAAAACAAATGATTTGTTATGCTTCTCAATAAGAGTTTCTAAATCCAAAACAGTTCTGTATACAGTTATTGGTGACAAAGTAAGTTGAAGAATTTGTAAAAGATCAAGAAAATTAACGTAATGAGGATTATTGGAATTGCTGTATTGTCCAATAAAAAGTGGAATGATACGAGCAAGAATCAAAATTTGAGCAGATGTTTGAGACCCTGAAATATCAAAGGTAGTTGGACAAATATTAGGCTTATCTCTGGCTTCAGAGTACGAATAAGGAAACTGGATAATAAAACTATTAAGTGCAGCTAATAAGTATTCACGTTTTTCAGAAATATGCAATCGCAGCAGAAGACATAATTCATGGGGTAGTAGTCCTTCAAGCAAAATGTGCATGGGATCGTGTGGTGCATTTTCAATAATATTAAAACGGGTGTTTAATAAAAGTGCACTCTCATAATTTATGCCATAAAATCTTGACCGATAGAGTTTAGCTTTTTTACTTGTCACACTCTTGAGATTTAAGATATTTTGCTGGTGGTTAGCTTGAGTACATAACATACACATGTCTTCTCTGTAAATTGATGACATTTGTATATTCGTGGTGAGACATGTACAACAGCATCTAAACACATTTGGTGCAAAGCTGGTGCAAATCCACAAATAAGATTTGAAGCTAATGTATCTCCCAAATATATTACAAATTTTAAAAATAGTTTTACACAACCAATCGTTGAATTAAAAGTAACACCTTTGTTCAAAAGATTTCAGGAATTAATAAAATCTTCTAAGTAATGAAAATAAGCTCCTTTTTTATTAGACTTGAATATTTTACAGGCACAACAGCAAGTGGAAAAACTGATATTAATGTAGAACGCATATATGATGGCAAGGAATGAAATTGAACATAGAAAATGGTTAGTTTGTGAAGTTTTCTGTGTTTGCCAATAGGGCTAGCTAATTCTATATTGTCACAATATAAGCTAAGAGAAAATTCTAATGGCTTGTGGGTAGAGAAATCTGCACGATAGTTTGCTTCAGCATCTTTCCTACTTAAAAGCTGTACAAACACATCAACTTGCAAAAGGAAATTAATAATGTCAAAAAGTAAAAAATTATAACCTTTACCACCAGCAAACAAAACTTCATTTATTTTCAAAATGTCAAACAAATTATTTAACAATTTTTCTATTTGATATTTATTACTAAGGATATCAACTTGTGAAAAATACTTGTCAAAAGTATGAAAATGCTCTTCCTATATTTACGAATATCAAGTAACATCTTGGCTTAAATACCAGATATTGTATTGACGGCTGTTGAAGGCACTCTGAATTGACCACATAGTTTAATTGCTAATGTTATCTTGGAGTCAATCCTTATTGTCTGAAAAGGTACTATTTATTTTTTATTTTTTTTTGCAAATAGGCCTTAATTTTCCTCTTGCTGATTTAAAAGAGCCATTACAAATTTAGAAACAATTTTACAAATAAGATTCATACCTAAATGTCTATCCATATGTGCATTATTGACTGACTTAAAACCACAGCAACATACCTTTACTCTAATTTCTAGAGAGAGTGGAGACGGAATAGGAACTTGGATATTCATATTTTGTGGATGATGAATAAAAGAAGATTGAGATGAACAATTGATTGTACAAGGATTATCCTCCAAACATGGAATTGAATTCAACATGTAAAATGTAGGTTCGTACGTTTTTCTTTGCAATGATAGGTGTGATTCTGAAAAGATAAAATATAATTATTATATAGTGAACATAAGAGAAAAAAAGAACATATTGGTAATATATATAACAAAATAACACAAATATATATATATATATATATATATATTTATATTTATATATATATATATATATATATATATATATATATATATATATATATATATATATATATATATATATATATATATATATATATATATATATAATATATAATAATAAATTTTTACCAATAGCCTTGACAACAACTTCACACGGATTAGAAAGAGCCACTACCATCTCATCTTCTAAGACAATATCGGAAAATATTAAATCAAATTGGTCTGAAGATAGACTTATCTTTGAGGACACTACAAAAAAATATTATTTAAATTTTTTTTATGCATAAAATATGTCATAGTTAAAACCAACTTTATGCATAAAATATAGTTTTAAAATAAGTTAAAAAAGCATAAAAGTTATTAAAATAAGCACAAACTAAGTTTATAATAGAATTTTCATAGTCTATGACAATTCTATTATAAAATAAGTCAAACTACACAACATAAGTTTAGTAATATGGTTAGGCATAGAATACAATATAAGTATGAAAATATTAATTAGATTATTATTTAGTAATTATTTTACAAATTGCATTTTCAACTTATTTTACAATTTGTAATGTAAACTACACAGTTTAGTGATTAGTTTTAGATTATCTTTTTAAACATTAAAATTAAAAACTAAACCTGTACTAAAATTATTTTGCTTATACAACACAATGATCGCAAAAAGTGACCAACGAAGTCGTCCAGTTACGTAGACCTGGGAGATGTGAAAATAAAAACAGATTGAAGATGATGTCATTTAGGTAAAAAAACATAAATTAATGTAAAGACTATTTAGTAGGAAGAGTAAAAGTTAGCAACTCAGGAAAAGAGCAACCAAAACTCACACTCTAGTCATCTTTAATCAAATGATAAAACAATGATCTATGAGCAAACAAGTCAATAAAAATCCGCTGGTTTATTAATGGTATTTATAACTTAAATAATCGCACCATACAAATGTCTAATAAATGTGGTAATTTATATATTCTAAACTTTAGATTAAAAATTGAGAACTGATAATCACCTGTGTAACATAAAAATATATAAATGTCATTAACGTAACAAATTCATAATAAAAAGTTCACAAAGCGCAAAAATGTTGGTGCCATAATAACCAATTAGAATTAAGTAGTGGATAAATGGTGATCCCCCTCCTCAGGAATGCACTGCAATCACCAATGACGTTTCGGAGAGCCCAAGACCTGCACTAACGCCATTCGTCAGGGGCGTGTCCTTGCAGCAGATCTCACCGCCTGCACTCTGCAGTAAAATAAGTTGAAAATTGCATTTTCAACTTATTTTACAATTTGTAATGTAAACTATACAGTTTACTGATTAGTTTTAGATTATCTTTTCAAAAATTAAAATTAAAAACTAAACCTGTAATAAAATTACCAGAACAAACTTTAGTAAAATTTAAATCGAAATTCATCTTTTCAGGTTTTATTGCAATAAACCATTTACTTTTAGTGCAATAAAAGTATATATTTTAGTGCAACAAAAACTTCTTTCTGTTAAAAGTTGTGAAATTTTGTCGTGAAATTTTGATTGGAATGCGAAAAAATTACTAAAACAACTTTCAGAACCATTTGAGTAGCCAAATACAAAATAAAATAGTAGGACTTAGATGATATCAAAATTATACCAACAGTTATATTAATACAACATAACAGTCAGTGTATTAATTCCGTATTTGTTTGTTTTTTGAACCATCATGCCATGATGGTTCATTTTTAATAAGCCATGATTCATGGCTTATTAAAAATGCTATTTTTGTAAAAGCTAGTGAGGCCAGGCTGGAATACTGAAATTGGGAAACACAAATAAGTGTAGGTAATTTAAACAATAATAATTGGAAATAATCGATTGGCAATCCAGTTGCGAAAAATAGCAAAGTTTTAATTAAGAACAAATTAAGAACAGGTATTCTTAATATATCATTGAAAATACTTATATCAGATCTATTATTAACTAATTTTAGTGTCACAAATTATGATAATTTATGCAGAGTGTATTTTTAGCTAATATTTTAAAGATTGTATTAATGGTAATGCAATACAAAATAAAACTTGTTGTGGTGAAATATTTACCTTTAGATTTAAACTTGAACAAATTATCATCTACAGCTAAAACCACTGGCATAAGTTTTGATAAATATGTAATTTTAATTATTTTAGACATTTTAATCACAGAATAACCACGAAAAATTAATTAATGTGATATTTCTTTTTTTCGCTGCGGACACTCATAGATTTTATTATTTATTAGTCACGCGACATTTAGTGCGCGG